ACACACACACACATGGTTTGAGTCCCTTGAGGATACCAAAGCTTCCATGTGGTGGTGGTGTAAATCAAAGAACACAGAATTCCTCGAGGAAGAGGTGGGAGAGATGGAAATGCTGCCTTTCCAATTGTGTAGATGTGGGGTACCAGCCCTCACAATCAAACGGGTCCAAGGGGTGGTTGTGACACTGAGAGGTAAAATTGAAGAGACATCAGACAAGATAAAGTATGCAATTGCTCACCTCCTGGATGGCCATGATCTCAGCAGCCAGGTCCACACAGAGAGAGCGAACTGGAATATATTTCCAATCATGGCATATATACACTTTCGGGGACATGAAAGCTCCCTAATTACATCATAACACGAAGGGGTTGTACTATAGTCATACATCAATCGGAGGGCAATAAGCTAGGGGTGTACACACAATCAGAACGGGCAGCACTAGCGGTACACATGCGACAAAATGGACGGGCCCTAGATTCAAGATGGCAGCCTAGCCTTGGTCCTCCTTGAGTTGGCTTGACCTTGTCTTTGGGCTCTCCTTCAGGGGAACAATCCACTATTCCCATCAGCAAGGAGTAGGTCCCACGTAGGGTGGGACAAACAATAGGTTTGATTGCTCTAGCTGGCTGATAACCCTCATGGAGATAACCTGTAAGCATTGACCTCCAAGTGCATATATGTTCTTAGGTTTGGCATATATTATGGAGGGACAACCTGGGGAAAACCCTTTCTGTATTCCACAGTGTAGACCTAGGTGGAGGATATGTTGAGGAAAGTTGTTGTTGATGATGTTGTTGTTAGTTGCCATCGGGTTGGTCCCAACTCATATGACCTTGTGCACAACAGAACAAAACACTGCCCAGTCCAGCACCACCTTTACCTCATGTTTGAGCCCATTGTTGCAGCTACTGTGTCAACAGCTACTGTGTTGAGGGCCTTGGTCAGAAATAAATAGCAGACGCTCTCTCTCCTCCCTCCTCCTCCTCCCCCTCTCGGCGAGGACCTGGCTGCTGGATCATGGCCCTCCCAGAAGTGAGCCTGCTACTGTAAGCTGTGTCTGAGTTCTTTATTTTACCTTCTCTCCTATCTTGTAACTTTACTATGATCTGTATCTATTAGAACCATACAATAGCTCCTCTGGACCCCCATGGATATTAGAGGCTGGCTTATGAACACGGTGGTTCTCAACCTTCCTAATGCTGCAAA